CGTTCTCCCAGAACATTGAATTTTGTGACCACAGTTACAAACAGCCTCCAGAGATCCTGTTCTACACCAGACCAGTGGAGCCAGACTGCAGCCACAGCCCATCATCATCCTCATCTGGTTGTAAGTAGGCAATCTAGTATATTATTAGTGACACTAATCTCTAATTTACCTCACATTAAATCGACACTATAGTCCCCAGAACCACTGCAGCTTAATAAAGTTGTTCTGGTGTCTATAGTTTGTCCCTGCAGGCTTTTTAATGTAAACACACACTGTGTGCAGCACTGGCACTAGTTCATATGGCAGATTATATGGGTGGGGCACTGCGATGTCCCGGGGGGGTGGGGGGGTGGCGGCAAATCTTTCTTTTGCCTAGGGCGGCAAAAATCCTTGCACCGGCCCTGGGGTCAGGCAGCCATCTTCTGCAGCAGCATGGTCTGCTGCTTTACGGCGGGGGCGGGGCTTATGTGAGGAAGGCGGGGCTTGGTTTGGGGGCGTGGCCTGTGCAGCCACAAAATATGAATATAATTTAAACACATGGCCAGCAAGTTGCTGGCATTGGGGGAGCCCACACAGACTGCTGAGTCCATACACACACACACAGACTGCTGAATCCATACACACACACACACACAGACTGCTGAGTCTACACACAGACTGCTGAGTCCATACACAAACAGACTGCTGAGTCCATACACACACACACACACACAGACTCTGCTGAGTCCATACACACACACAGACTGCTGAGTCCATGCACACACTCACACAGGCTGCTGAGTCCACACACAGACTGAGTCCATACTGCTGAGTCCATACACACACACACACACACACACACACACACAGACTCTGTTGAGTCCATACACACACACACACACACAGACTGCTGAGTCCATGCACACACACACACACACAGACTGCTGAGTCCACACACAGACTGCTGAGTCCATACACACACACACACACACAGACTGCTGAGTCCATACACACACAGACTGCTGAGTCCATACACACACACACGCACAGACTCTGCTGAGTCCATGCACAAACACACACACACAGACTGCTGAGTCCATACACACACACACACACACACACACAGACTGCTGAGTCCATACACACACACACACACAGACTCTGCTGAGTCCATACACACACATCAAGCCTACCTGTCACTGGAGGCTGTTGCTGGGGGTCAGGCAGCCATCTTCTGCAGCAGCATGGTCTGCTGCTTTACGGCGGGGCTGTGTGTGTATGGACTCAGCAGTCTGTGTGTGGGCTTATGTGTGGGAGGCGGGGCTTGGTTTGGGGGCATGGCCTGTGCAGCCACAGACAGCCCCCAGCACCTCAGTCCTGCATTCCCTCGGGCTGTAACAGGCTGTTACAGCCCGAGGAAATATAATTTAAACACATGGCCAGCAAGTTGGCCCAGGGGGGGCACAACATGATGTAGGGGGGGCCATGGCCCCCTCCGCCCCCCCCCTAGCAACACCACTGGTGGGCCCCCACCTGAGATAAAAGTCCCTTGCCGTGGCAGGCGATCTAACGGGTAAAGAATGGGAGGAAACTTCATATAGAATGCTAGCTGTAGATGATGAGCGTTCAGCTCAGCCGTGGAAGATGATCCAACCACTAGCAGCTGATGGAAGTCACAGGAACAAGGTGAGGTGCGGATTGATTCTAATTCAGAATACACTGCGGTCGGTGTCTTCAAAAAAGACAGTGGTGTAGAAAGCTTCAGTTACTCAGTAAATAATGAGAAGACCGGAAGCAGTAGATACGTGATGTCGTCTACACATTTCGTTCCCAATGTGGAACTTTATCAAGACAATGTTCACGCTATCCAGGCTTATCTTAAATAGCCTACACAACCCATGAAAGATGGGAGGGGAAAAAAAGTATATAAAAACGGACATAAAACCTGGATGGGATCTCTTATAGCATAAAGGGATCTTATCAAAGAAAAACACGAAAGTAAATTATATAATATAATAAATTATCAGAAACTATATGAACAAACGAGCTCATTCTGGAAATGCATCAACATATAAAGTTGTATAAATTAATGTTGAATATAGAAATGGTATGCTCTTTGTATAGATAGACACCATTCAAATAAAACAAATACTAAAAGAGTGGAATCCTTATTGGTCTAAACAGTTATGCTGAGAATCAATAGGTTCCACTGAAGGTGGATATTAATTCATGGGGATGTATCGATATTGTTTAAAGTAGTGTATATTTATGTTTAATGTAAAGATAGTGGTTATTCTCTAAGAAGATAAAACAAATGAAACATAGCAAATGAGGATAATTCTTGCTTAAAAAAATGATTGTGCCAAAGTTATACAAATTCCACTGGACATAAGCACTATTGAAGAAAAATACTAATAAAGGGCCAGATGAACATAATAATAAAGAAATGATAAAAAAAAGGTTGCGCCACTAAATAAATAAATAAATAAATATAACAGGAAAAGGGTAGTATAATAGTTAATAAAAACTAAAAAGTCTCTTCACATAAAATACATGTAAAAAGTGGATAAAGTACTTACAAATGGCAATATAAACATGAAATGGATAAACAGTCCTAAAAATGAGCAGGGAATAGTGCCGTCCGCTTGAAGGGAGGAAACAGTCCTGATAAAATTGAAGAAATGGATGGAGTATCTTGTTCCAGGTGGCAATATGCAAAAGAAAATAGGGAGAGGAAAATCCAATAGTGCAGAGTGTATCTTCCGCTTATTTATGGAGATTCGAAGTGAAAAAGAATCACACTCACCTATAATAGAGCTAAAACTAGCGTATTTCGCATTCAGTAGTACTGGTCCCTCACTGGTGGGATATAGACGAATGTGCGTGGCAGAGATCCTCGGGAGAGAAGAGGATAACACAGAATAGTGCTCAATTTGGGTGAGCAGGAAATACTGCTCACTTTTATAGCGTAGGTGGTATCATCCCCACCTAGGTAGAAGTATAAAATGAAGAGTAACCAGGTCCAAAAAATAATAATAAATAAAACAAAAAAATATAAAAATAAAATTATATTTAAATAACTAAGAATAAAAGATATTATTAAGGATAAAAACTTTAGCTTAATGAAGCAGTTTTGGTGTATAGAACATGCTTCTGCAGCCTCACTGCTCAATCCTCTGCCATTTATGAATTAAATCCCTTTGTTTATGAACCTTAGTCACACCTCCCTGCATGTGACTTGCACAGCCTTCCATAAACACTTCCTGTAAAGAGAGCCCTATTTAGGCTTTCTTTATTGCAAGTTCTGTTTAATTAAGATTTTCTTATCACCTGCTATGTTAATATAGTGCTAGACCCTGCAAGAGCCTCCTGTATGTGATTAAAGTTCAATTTAGAGATTGAGATGTAATTTACCTTAAATAATTGTATCTGTTTGAAAGTGAAACCAGTTTTTTTTTTTTTCATGCAGGCTCTGTCAATCATAACCAGGGGAGGTGTGGCTAGGGCTGCATAATCAGAAACAAAGTGATTTAACTCCTAAATGACAGTGAATTGAGCAGTGAAATTGCAGGGGAATGATCTATACACTAAAACTGATTTATTTAGCTAAAGTAATTTAGGTGACTATAGTGTTCCTTTACATTTTTTACTGGGGATAATAAAGGTTTTTTTGCCCTATTGCTGATAGAAGTTTTTATTTATACTCAAATGTATCCATTTTGCATTTTGACACAAACTGACACAGCGGATCCACACTTGAGATTGCAACAAGCTGCTTCTCCCTGATATACTGTTGCATTTTCTGAGGTTCATAGTTTGGGTTTACATCATCCTCTCAGGATCTTTTTTCAATTGCCAATATTACATTATTTGATCTTTTTTCAGTTGTCATTATTACATTATTGGTGTATCTTTGGTAAATTTTATATATGAAACCCAGTTTACTTTGTGAGAGAATTCTGGAATTTATATTTGTTTTTAATTTTTGTCTTATTATTTATTATTATTATTATTATACATATGTATTTTTAGAGACTTTGTGCGTCACTGTCTCTCTATCTTATACTACCAGGAGCGCACATACTAGTTTGGATTATTTTCAGATTTTTTTCTTTACAGTCGCTTTTAAATGTATGTAGCAGCCCACCTTTAATTTTATACTTCACATTATATTTACCTACCATCATCTATAATTAAATTATGACTGACATGTAAATCTTGTATCTTTAATAATTTTAAGGAGGCTGCAAGCAAATGTACTCAATACAATGCAAAAAGTGTTGTGTTGTTAAAAAGTCCTGCTGATATCAGTATGTGCTGAATCACTATGTGTGCTTATTAAGGTCACTGTGTTATACTTTGAATGTAGCTGCATTCTGAATAGCTGGGGAGGAGGACAAGGAGAGTTATGGGCAGGCAAAGAGTGTGCAAATGGTTGATGGTTGTATATTGCACTGCATGTGAATATAGGAAAGGGGTCCTACTCTGTGTTTAAGATGAGATAGAACTTGAAATGGGGAAAAAGGAGGGGACAAGGAAAATAGAGTGAGCTTGGTACTTGAGATGGAATTGGAGGATGCTGGAGGGGGATGAGTATTGGGGATGAGTAAGAGAGAGTAACTTTTTACTGTAGATGGGAGAGCAAAAAAATAAAAGTGCATTATACTGGGGAAGGGAGAGGGTTGCTTTTACTAGAGAGTAAGGAGAGGAAGTAGATGTTTTGTAATGGCAATGAGAAGGGAGAGGCGATAAAATGTTGTACTAAGGATAGGAAAATTAATTTACTTATCCAATAACAAGGTCCTAGTTCTTTTTCTCTTTTATTACTCATATTCTACTCCTGTGACTACTAATATGCAAGCATATTATTTATTCCACCTGTGTCCACTTCCTGGACTAAAGGTATTCAGTAGCAGTGACTGCAAAATGGCCAATTTCATTGTAATAACCTCTAAAGTTGCAAGCCCTTTAACTCTAAGAAGAAGCATACTAATAAGTTTAATTTGATGTTTCAGAGATCAAATGTACAGAGAGACTTGCCTTTCTCCAATACATGCACCAATTGTAGATGGTTCCTGGTCATTTGGTGGCAGTCCTGCCAGTCTGAACTATGTAAGCCTTTGTCTGAAGTCCATGCCCTCCTCTTGTGTTTATGATTCTGAAGGAATTCCAGTGTCATGGGTACTGTGCGATCATTATGGTGCCATGCGAATGCTTTACACTGTACCTCAACATAGACGCAAAGGGCTCGGATCCTTGGTTTCTTCTAAATTGGCAGAAGCAATGCGAGGGCAAGGAATGCTGGTTCATTGCCATGTAGAAGAGGAAAATATTCCATCACAGCTGATGTTTAAATCTCTGGGGATGCAAGAGACCACCAGCAGACTGCTATGGGCACGATGTGATTTAAAGGGGACAAATGATTAGTATGTTACTGAATCATCCAAATGTTTAAGTATTTTATAAGATGTGGCAGCATAAACTGAAACCTTCCATAATCCTGACAAATGAACGTATGTGTATATATATATTCCTGAGCACTACAAAATATCTACAGATTACAATTTCCTGATCATATTCTGTAGCCATGTGTAGATCAATATCAATAAACATTGTCATTTTATAACCCTGGGCTCAAAATTTCCACTAACCATCAGGGGCGTACCTAGAGCATTTGGTACCCGGGGCGGATCCTGTGTGTGGATCCCCCAAAATGTAAAAAAAACCCTCTTTTTTTTAAATAATGTATTGCACAAATTTGTAAAACTCCTGACTGCCGCCTTCTACAAAATCCCTGTCCTGCCCCGCCACTCCTACAAAACCCCTGTTCTGCCCCATTTCTACAAACCCCTGTACTGCCCCCTTCTAAAAGCCCTGCACCCCCACACACGTGCAGACAGTCACACACCAACGTTCACTACAGAACCCTAACACGCATACAGGACTGAGTAGAGAGAATTGCAATACCAATCCTTAGAATCATCAGGTTATGCAAAAAGAATAGTCAAAACACGAGCCAAGGTCAAGAGAAACAGAGAGACCAAATAACGAGAGACAAAGTCAAATATCAGTAATCAGGAAATCCAAATAACAAGTGCAACACTCAATGGTAAACCAACGACCACAAAAGGGCACTGAGGCAAAGGAGAGGTTAGCTTAGATACATACAGGGTGTGTCTAATTGGCTAACCTCCAATTAGTGTTAACCACAACACGTGGGAGGCATTTCTTCCTTCCCTTATGGTCTCTGAGGTCATCACTGTGTGCCGGGTCACATGACCGGGTGCAGCACACATAAGGCAGCTGCTCTGGAGTGTGCAGCATCAGACACACTGCCAGTCTGGAGACAGGGACCAGATGACGCTGCTCGCTGTGATGAGGTAAGCAAGGTTGCCGCGAGCGCCACGGGAGCAGGGGACCTGACACACACACAGTTACAGACAGACAGTCACACACACATACACAGTTACAAGCAGACAGTCACACACACTCTGTTACTTACAGACAGTATGGGCTGGAGAAGGAGTTGATTCCCTGAAGTCCTTGCTTCCCCTCGATGTACAGCAGTAACAGCAGCGGGTGGGAGCTGTGTTAAGCTCAGCCCCCGCTGCCGATCTGGCGCAGCACCCACGGCAGTTTGGCTCCTACCCCACTTTCCTTCCGTGCGGCTGGTTTTCAAGTGGCTGCATTGTGAACTGTCTGCTGCCCGGCACCCCAGTTGACATGGAGCCCTGTGCAGCCATCCAGATAAGATCCCTGGCCTTGGTTGTTACCACCCCTACCTAGTGGCACCCGGGACAGTTTAGAGTCAGGTCTAAATGACTCCGTTATATTAAGGAGACAACAACAAAAAATCATCTTATAATGATAATCCCTAATACTTCTGTTACCTTTTGTGTAACTTTACCCCACTCCCTCTAGCATGTAAGCTCATTGAGCAGGGCCCTTAGCCTCTCTGGCTACAATTACATGTTAGTCAACCCATTGTAAAGTGCTACAGAATTTGTTGGCGCCATATAAATATAAAAATAAATTATAAAGATCATATGGCTTTATCTGGATAATAAAGATTTTTTATTTTTATTTTTTTACACCGTATGTTCCAAGGTGGCAATTACTTGTATTATCCATTTTATATTATGACCCAATTGTTATATTCAGAAAAATATATAATATCAAATCAATACTTACAGTTCTGTGATTTGTAATGTTCACACTTCTTGATTGTGCAATTAACATATATAAAACAATAATAATATGCAAAGTGTATCTGATTGTATAGAATTAAAGTTATTTTTTAAAATAAATTTATGTATTATAAAAAATGTGATATTACTTAATGAAAGGGTCAAATTTTGTTTAGCTAAATCATAAGACATTGCAAGGATGCAATACATGTAGTTTAGCACATGACCATTTCCCCTTTTAGAAGATGACATCACCCCTACACCCTCCTATTTTAGGAAGTCCCCACCTAGTAATGCCCCCTAGATAAGCTGTGAATCATGTGTTACATGCTTTCACCATGCTGTTTGCACGAGCTTGTCCATCACATTAGTTAATAGTTGTCTATATTTGATTGGTAATTAGTGATACTCCCCCTAGACTCCCTTTTGTTGCTTTTCATTATAAAACCTTTGTTCAATTAAATAAAGAGAATACATTTTCCAAATCCTTGAAGGGCGTGGCTTGGTCTGGATAGAACTGTAAGACCATAACACGTAATTCTAGTGATCACCAAAGACAGGGCAGATGTTCCAACACTAAATCACCTAGAAATGTGATGTGTCAGTTGCACATAATTTACAAAAAACTAATTATCTTTCAACCTCAGTATTAAGGCCTCTGGGTTCTAAGGTACCTACTTTCTGGATGCAGTAGGACTCTGTTTGTGCCACCTTTTTTCCCTGTTTCCCCATATCCAATGTGTCTCAATATGATTCAAGCCTCTAAAACTGAAACCCCCCACTTGAATTCTGGGCATGAATTACAGTGTGCTGGTAATGAATGGGTCATAGTAAACTTGTACAAGGAATCTCAGGTTTATCCACTAGAAGTTAATGTATGTACATTTTCAGAACTGTTTTAAATTATCTAGACAATTTGTTTTCATATATTTTTAATTATATCTGCCTGGGACTTAAAATCCTCAATTTTTGAACAATTGCATCTGTAGCAGAGCCCTAATCCTAACAGGGACTTTCCTCCGCTGAATCACCAAGAGTAGAATCAGGAACAAGAAAATGCCAAGTGAATAGCCCTTGTAACGGACCCTCAATACTTCGGCTGAGTATATCCGTTAGTAGTCTCCTGAATCCCAAATGTGACAGTGATTATAGCTCTCTTGTTTCCAGCAGAGTAGTGATTAGAGCTCTCCAATCCCCCAAACATAAGCCTAGACTTCATGAAGGGGTACAACAAATGTAATTATCGCTGTACATTGAGCCTGGATTAAACACATCAACTAGTACACACCCACAATCCAGTTTCCCTTCAGGTTCACATGTAAACCTCCCAAGTTGACCGGTAACCGCATGTTCCCCTAGCCGAAAATAGTTCCATAGAATCGCGGCTAGGTACTGCTGGGGACCGACAGGCAGCTGCGAAGTTTCCATGCCGAAAATAGTTCCAGGGCATTCACGGCTAAGTCCCCCTGAAGTCTATTCGCAGTTTTGGTCCATGTGAACAGCCGCCAGGGAGCGAGCGGTCGGTTCCATTAGAACGCAGGGAAAGTGCCGAACCAGTGGAAGTTCTATACAGTGGCTGGTCTGGCCCATAGTCTGTGGGCAAGAGGCCAGCCTCCACACTCTTCCAGGAGCCCGTGGCAAGCGTCTTTAAAAAGTGACGTTTGTCACATATCTCCCCTTTCCCGGGGAGACTAACCAGACCCCAGACATGCATTTCTTCTCTATGGTGGTGTAGCCTACTTCTCAAGGTAACAGCCTGCGACTGATGTAAGCCACGGAATGTTCTCCACATTGGGGCTGACTTGGAGTACTGCTCCCAATCCAAACATAGATGTGTCTGTATGAACAAGAAAATGTTTAGTTGGATTCGGAACTGCCAAGAGGCATTCACAAGGACCTTGTATATATGTGTAGACCACCCAGGTGCAGCAATAAAAATAAAAATAAAGGTAATTACTTCCCTTATATATTAGGTCGTAACACAGGATTCCTCAAAATCCTCAAATATCAAATTCAAGATACACCTAAAAAAACAGAGGCAAAATTAAATTCATAGGACAACACCATACAATAAAGAAGTGGCCCCTTGATAGTGATAATGAACTCACAAGATGAACTCACAAGATGTACGAGCCCATCAATATTTCTTTAAATGTTCAGCTGCAGAACTTCTCAATTTCCAGGGATACATCCCAAAAGAAAAAACTGGACATGGTGCAGCAAAGTTTAAAATATGAAATGACACACTTTAATTAAACACACTTACAAGAAGTGAGCAGTAAGAATGCTCATCAATAAATCACTGGATCCTCTAATCCCAGATGGTACAAAGGTAGAAGACAGGAATAACGAGCAACAATAAAAAAGCTCAACGCGTTTCGTCTACTTCAATGTAGACTTCATCAGGAGAAAATAAATAATAAAAACAGATACAGCATCAAAAAATCATACATTACAATCTATCAAGTGTCCATAGTGGCTTTTAAATATCCCCCTCTTCATGCCTCCACTCATTCCGCCTATCAGTTGCGCTGGGGTCACCTGTTCTGCGTCGTTCATCAGTCCATGACCATATTTGGACTTCCGTTAATCTTCGTGGAACGCATATGCGTTCCACCTATCGGCGGCTCAGGAGGATGTCATCCATCTGCGCGTGGAATGCACATGCATTCCATTTCCCCAGTTCCGTCGGTTGGGAAGAGTAAAGAGTATGAGAGATCAAATATACACAACTAAATATATGGAGTGGAGTTAAATTCAGCAGTGTTCACTTCATAGAGACTATACTTATAACAATAAATTAAACACCTCATTCAATGAAGTAAAAAAAAAGCCAGTATGTAACGAAAAAAAGGAGAAGAAACAAGACATAATATGCACAAATAGATGTCATTTTAAATTACTTACTCCAAAGGGGGTGATTCTGGAAAATACAAACTTATAAAATGAATAAATGATGAATAAATATACAAATAAAAATAATAAATTTGATCAATAAAAATAAAAATAAACATGATGATAATAAAAATAAAATTAAATTAAAATAAAAAAATAAAATAAGAATAAAAATTTAAATAAATGAAATAAAATAAAATAAAATGAAAAATATAAAAATAAAAATAATAATAAAAATAAAAATGAAAATAAATGTAAATATAAAAATATGAATAAAAAATAAATATGAAAATAAATATAAAAGTAAAATTAAAATTAAAAATAAAAACAAAAACAAAATGAAAAGTAATAATGGCTCAAAGAAAACAAATCAAATCAAAATCCACATTCAACCCAAATGGTTGAAGGGTTTTAAGTTTGTGGATCCAGAATCCCTCCCTTTGTCTGAGTCTCATCACAATATCTCCTCCTCTCACACCCAGTGATATTTGTTCGATCACCACCCACAAGAATTTATGAATGTCAAAGAGTGAGCACCTATTACAATGGACCGGAACAGAATGATTAAGCACCCCTTTATTGATGTTGTTCTTATGTTCCAGGAATCGTGTCTTAGCTTTTCTCACTGTCCTCCCAACATACTGTGCACTGCATCCACATGTGAGTAGGTACACAACATGTGTGGAGGAACATGTGACCCGTCCCTGGATTTTAAATTCTTCTTTAGTGACAAAACTAGAGAAGGAGTATGTGTGGAACGGTTGTCCCCTACAGGCTTTACACATTCCACAAGTATGAAACCCCTTCGAAGTAATAATTTGAATATGTGTGTTCCTCTGAAAAAGACTTGGTGCAAGGAAACTTGAAAAATTCCTTCCTTTTCTATAGATGATCTTAGGGTGTTCCAGCAGTTGAGGGCCTATATATTCATCATATTTAAGTATGCTCCAGTATTTTCTAAATATTTTATTTATAGCAAAAGTTTTGGAGTTATATTGAGTGTTAAATGAGAATTCAAAAGATCTATCAGTATTAGTGGTAGATCTAACTTTATTCATCAGGAGGTCTCCTCTTTTAATATTTCCAATTCTCTTGACCTCCATGTCTAAAGATTCTCTCTTGTATCCCTTCTCTACAAATGTAGTTGTTAATTTTTCAGCTTGTTCTACATAGGTGTTTATATTGGAGCAATTACGTCTAAGTTGAGTATATTGGCTCTTTGGAACTCCTGCCAACCATTTCGGATGGTGTCCACTCTTAGATTCAATAAAACTATTGGTGTCAGTGGGTTTGAAATATGTTTTAGTGAGGATCTGAGAGTCTTCAATAAAGATGGTCAGATCAAGAAAATCTATAGAAGTTGGACTAAACACTGGAGTGAAAACTAAGGAGAGGGTATTGTCGTTAAGATACCGGAAGAAGTCAAGTAGTTGTTCTTCAGACCCCTTCCATATAACAAGGATGTCGTCTATATAGCGACGACAGAGCACCAGGTTTGCCACATATGGGTTATTATCCCAAATGGACTGACGTTCCCAAAAATCCATAAAAATGTTGGCATAATTAGGGGCAAAGCTGGTGCCCATGGTAGTTCCCTTGATCTGCAGGAAGTACTCATCATTGAACATAAAGAAATTATGAGTAAGTATAAATTCAATGGCTTCAAGTAGAAACCCAACAAATGCTTGATTCAAGGATACATCTCTATCCAGATTATCTTTGACAGCCTGTATACCAACTTGATGATCTATCACTGTATATTGGGAGCCTACATCTAGAGATGCCCACATATAATCATCCTGCCATTCAATGGAGTCCAACTCCTGCAGTAGATGTTTTGTATCTTTCAGATAAGATAG